TCAGCACAAGACCTTGTGGTCTAGTGGCGAAAACAATGGTCTCCGAAGTGTTAAATCGATGGTTCGAATCCTACCATAACCGTTTTTCATTATGAACTTTGTGAAAAGGATAAAGTAAATTAAATGACCATGGGCGTTCAGCTCCAGATCTTGTAGTCTATGTGATATATATATTGAATATTTAATTAGGCTGTAAGGTATAAATATGCATGCGTAATTAGCACCGTTGTTGGCTTGCTGGATGATGCTGTAACATAGAATAAAACAGAGAATAAAACATTTTATGAAGACTAGATCAATCTGTATCAATCCGTATCAGAGACAAGGCATATACACTACAATTGGGCTCACTGAGGAGTAAATCAGGGCTGTGGTGAATGCTACGGAGCCGAAAACAGCCTCTGAAGTTCGGAGTTTTCTTGGTCTGGTAAATTTCTGTAGTCTGTTCATTCCAGATTTAGCTATAACGGCTGAACCCCTGCGGAAGTTAACCAGGACAACTACACCTTTTGTTTGTGGAAATGAACAGAATAAGGTGTTTCAAGAGCTTAAGAATACGATGTCTACCGCTGATTCATTGGCTTTTTTTGATAAGGATGCAGAAACGTCGATAATCTCAGATGCTAGTCCTGTTGGTCTTGGTGCAGTGCTTGTGCAAAAGCAACAAAATGTAATGAAGGTTGTGGCATATGCTAGTAGATGTCTTTCTGACATGGAAAGGCGGTATTCTCAGACGCAGAAAGAAGCATTAAGTATAGTATGGGCTTGTGAGCGTTTTCATGTGTATTTGTTCGGGATTCACTTTGAGGTTTTGACAGACCATAAACCATTAGAAGTGATTTATTCCAAAACCCATAGGCCCTCTGCACGAGTCGAAAGGTGGGTTCTGAGATTGCAGAATTATGATTTTACTGTTAAGTATCTTCCGGGTCCAGAAAACATCGCGGACACGTTGTCTCGGAAACAGTTGTTGAAGAAATCGATCGAATCCAGCGGTCGTGACTGTGAAGTTTCGCGTCAAAACGGATAGCTATCGCCTAAACAATGGTATGTGCAGTTGCAAGCAAACTGCGTGTTTGCACCGACTATAACCATCATGTGAATGATTGTACAGTATAATATAAAACAAAATATTTACGAAGGAAATAAGAAATTTATGTAATGTGATTTTATAAATAGACTATTAAGGCAAGGTGTTCCCCCAAGGGGATACGCCTTGCCGACGATAATTAAAAATCTTATATTATGGGCTTTGCGTCCTATCTAAAAGACCGACAGGTAATGGATGGCACGCAATATGGGAAAGGTGGTCAATAACCAGCAGCAAATCGAAAACTAACAAAGACCGAATACCCAAACCATAAACGGTCAGTTTAAGCGTGACATCGCGAAAGACAGATCTCCTTTAAAGTTGAAAGGTATTTACAGAAGTGTTCTACTTGTTTTTCTATATTTATATGTTGATATACATATAGATAGATAGATAGATAGATAATTTTAATAGTTTCTCCCAGAAGGGTTTTTATAGATAGTAGCTACGAATACACAATGGTACCCCCAAAAGTTTTAGTCCTGGGACACTCATTTGTTCGTCGCCTACAGTGCGACCTGAAACATAAACGGGATATTCGCATGTGCCCAACCTTTAAACTCAAGGGCACAGCGAGAGTTTCTCTACACGGTATAGGAGGTAGAACAGTGAAGAAGATTCGCAAATTTGATTTAGGCGTAGTTTCTCGGTGTGCCCCAGATATTGTTATTCTGGAGATAGGCACGAACGATTTGTCCTCCTTAAGGCCCGAAACAGTCGGGTCACGCATTGACGACTTGGTTGCTTTATTGCTGGATCAATATCACGTAAAATTGGTATGCGCATGCATGATTTCCCCGCGAAAGAACAACCCTCTTTTTGAAAAGCAGCGTTTAATGCTGAACAATTATCTACAGGTAGTTTTAGAGAAGGTCCCGAGAGTGTTTTTATGGACACACCATGGCTTTATACGACCTTCCGTGACGCCATTTCTACCTGACGGGGTCCATTTTAATCGAATCGGGCAATATAAATTATACCGAAGTTATCGGGGGCCATTCTTCAAGCAACTAAAATGTTATAAAATTCTCTATCTATATATATATATATATATATATATATATTATAATATATATTATATATATATATATATATATATATATATATATATAACAAGCTGTCGTACATTACATTCATTTACTTTTATAATATAACTTTGACATTTGACAAACTTCACTCGTGATTACTTCTTAAATACCGCTTTAGCGCCTTTATCTATTATATCTTTATCTTTTATCTATATGAGAGTTCTCACACTGTTTGTGAGTTTTGTTGGCCATATGATGAAAGGTGCGGCGATCTTCTGATCTGCCATGTTCATCCTGCTGACGTTTGATTTTGTCTTTATCTCTCATCTATATGAGAGGTCTCACACTTTTTGTGAGTTTTTTGTTGGCCATAGGGTGAATGGTGCGGCGATCTTCGGATCTGCCATGTTCATCCTGCTGACGTTTGATTTTGTCTTTATCTCTCATCTGTATGAGAGTTCTCACACTTTTTGTGAGTTTTGTTGGCCATAGGGTGAACGGTGCGGCGATCTTCGGATCTGCCATGTTCATCCTGCTGACGTTTGATTTTCTAATCATTCTTTCACAAGTTCCAATTTTCAATTACGACAAATAACGGACGAATCCTCACTATTGAATGTTCGCCATTACGGGGATAGTTTTATTTCTCGCACACGACAAAATTTGGGTCGGTTGCTTTACTATCTAAAAACTCATTACGCCATAAGTATCTATTTCTGCTTTTAAAGTTTTATTTCTTAGAATGCCACCCGTACGTCGTTCTAAGCGTGTCGCCGCTCCATCAGCCGTTTTTGCGAGAGTCTGTTCAGAACCAACAAACAACATCTCGTCGAACTTTAAGTTCGTCCAATGCTGTATCTGTTGGTGCCGCCCCGTCAACGTCAACTGTGCCCGTGAGTCAAGCGACTTTGCCCTCTCTTTCGAGTGAGCTTATCTCAACGCTGGTGTCTTCGGTTACCGAGGCAGTCACGCAAAAGCTAGCTGGTTTCTTACCAACCTCTGCGTCTTCCACATCCACAATGGCGTCTGCCCCAACGGATTCTACCTCCGGAATCGAAATCTCAAACCAGGGTCCCAATGCAGATTCTCTGGTCAACGACGCGCTCACGTCCATACAAGAAAACCTTACAGGTCAGACCACTCCTTTTTCTCTTCAATGTTCAAGTGCCCCGGGTCCACGGGAATCGTTCCACTCTGCCGCTTTGCCTCTTGAATCGCGGATTCCGGATAAAATAAAGCTTAAAATATGGAATGAGGAGTTTGTCGATATAAGTACTTTGTCAGGTGGCCCAGACGCGGCCGCTAAATACGAGATTAGTGTACGTACCTCTGACAACGGTCAACCTGCTTCTCTTCTCCTTGAGCCGACTGCGAAATCCAAAAGGGTGAAAACTATTAGCGATTGGCTTCGTTCGTTTCATATTTTTGTTTCCATTTATACACAACGGTACCCCCATGAGTCCCCCGCGCTCATGAAATATTGTCAAATCATCCAGGATTTGGTCAATAGGGGTCATAATTGGTTTTACTACGATGAGAATTTTCGATTTTTGCGCCAAACACAGGCCACGCGGGTTCCCTGGGCGACTGTTCACTGGGAGTTATGGTTGAAATGTCAATATCCCACTACTTCTAAGCCGAACACGCAAGGCAGCAATCATACGCGCCACCCTTCAAAAGTGTCTGTTCCTCGGGGATATTGTTTTAAGTTTATCGCGGAACGTTTTGTGCCGGTTGTGATTTCAAGCACACTTGTTTTAAATGCAACGGATCGCACCGTGCCGTGAATTGTAATTTTCGTGCCAACAACAGACCATCTCCCACTGATGGATCGCCTAGGCCTATTTCAACAACGTCCGTTGGCAACACCCATAAAACTTCATAATTTACAAATATTGTTAGAAGGTTATAATCCAAGTATTGTTGATACACTAATTTCCGGATTTACTTCGGGTTTTCGCATTCATTTCTCTGGCACAGAACAGTCGTTTGAAGCAATAAATTTACGGTCTGCTCTTGACAAACCAGAAGCGGTTGACCAAAAATTAACGAAAGAGTTACAGGCATCTCGCCTTGCTGGGCCATTTAATTATCCGCCTTTTCCAAATTTTCTTGTTTCGCCTTTGGGCCTGGTTCCTAAAAAACAACCGGGTGATTTTCATATGATTCATCATTTATCGTTTCCAAAGGGAGCATCGGTTAATGATGGTATACCCGATTTCGAAACATCTGTGCGGTACGCTATCGTTGACGACGCTATTCAACTTATTAAAAAAGCGGGCCGGGGTTGTTTCCTGGCGAAAACAGATATAAAAAATGCTTTTGGAATCATTCCTATCAGCCCAGCGGATTATCACCTCTTAGGCATAAAATGGCGGAGTTTGTATTATTACGACCGCACAGAGAATTTTAACGAGTTATTTTAACTCCAAAAATGGAGTTAAAAAAACGGTGACAGAATAATCCGTATTTTAGAGTTACTTTAACTCTAACGAATATAGAGTTAAAATTACTCTTTGTTGCAACGAGTTACTTTAACTCTAAAAAAGGAGTCAAAAAAACGGTGACAGAATAATCCGTATTTCAGAGTTACTTTAACTCTAACGAATATGGAGTTAAAATTACTCTTAGTTGCAACGAGTTATTTTAACCCTAAAAATGGAGTTAAAAAACGGGGACAGAATAATCCGTATTTCAGAGTTACTTTAACTCTAACGAATATAGAGTTATTTTAACTATTGGCGATGGAGTTAATAAAACAAATAAGAAGAGGGTAACTTTAACCCCAAAAAGAGTCATCATCCGTATTGCAGGATTATTTAAACTCACACACAATAAACGAGTGAAAACAACTCCGAATCATTAAAATATCACCTTTATTTAAAAACACGTATATAAAACACATAAAAATATGCAGTTATTAACTTTAAATCTATAACATGAAAATATAACAGTATATAACTTATTTGATCCTTTTCAATCGCAAATAAAACATATTGTCTACACTCATGTAAACTCAGGGGGTAATTGAACATTCTTAGTTATAATCAGCCAATTAATTGGACTGAATATAACTGGCCTTTTTCTGATTGGCTTATAATTATATAGGGGTAGCTACATAAATATAGTAAGCATAATTCACAAAAAGTTTCACGCACGAGGATTAATAGACTATATGATGTATCTGCGAAATCATGGACAACTGTAGGGCAAGTTATGAAATTATAAAAACAATAGCAATGAACAATTAACTATATGCCTATACTGTACATGCATACATATATACAATGAAAATGTACGGATTACATTGCACACATCTCGGACATACTCATTTCTGGCTTTGTCTATCAACTTTCCTTCTCTTAGTCCCTGTTGTACTCTTGGAGATAACTGCAATGCAAATAAATATTACTAACGTTATATATATATATATATATATATATATACCTTGATATATGATATATTTGATTTATTTTCTCATAGAATTGCTTTAATTACCGATGACTTTTCAGGCAGCTCTATGGATATTATATTCTTTTTTCCAGATTCAGGTGTTTTCACAAAAGCACTGGACAGTGATGCATTGCTCTGTTGATTAAAACAACAATGATTTTCTAGTAATTAGTATTCTAAAAAGTGCAATTTCATGCAAGCTAGTTCTATTTGCTCCTAAATAAATAAGTTTTCTCCATGGAAATGAATGGTCGTGTCTAAACCTGCCATGTATTAATCAGCAATATTATATCACATAATAATTCAAATGAATGAATAAATACTACATGACAGTCATGACAGTCAGTCAAATACTACATGACAGAACAGAGATCTTCATTTTGCTGCTTCAAAATTTGTAGATGAGATGCTTATAAGGAGTGGACTGGTGAAAGCAAACATCTTTTTTGCCTCCCAATTATCTCCCACCTATAAATTCTAAAGGCCCTGTTACACGGTTACACACAATTTTCCTTGTAACTGGCATTGCAATTCTACTTTAAAGAGCTGTTAATTAGTGAGGAGTCATTAAAATGTAAGTGTAAGAACTGCAATGGAGCGTAATAAAGACAAAAGTTCGGTAGTTGCCAAATCTACATCTCCCAAAAGAAGAATTGAAGTGCAAGTTGCCAGAAAAAATTGCCAAAGGTGGCAAATCTGTTTCTAAGCTAACTATAGCTGTATATGTGAAAAATAATGTACAAGTTTATAGATTCTTAGGCTTTTGCACTTTTTTTGTCTTTTAACTGGGTAAATATAGGTGGTAGGGTAGTTTAAGAGAACAAAAGATACAAATATATATATATATATATAATTATATATATATATATATATATATATATATATATATATATATATATACATATTTGTTGTGGGGAAATTGATATGTGACATACATTAATATTGATTACTCACATGACTTGTTTTGGCAGATTCCTGCTTTTCTGCAAAAATGATTGCATTGGGGGTCTGTGTTCATTACAATTTGGCAGCAAAGAAAACATAAAAAAGGAAATGTAGAAAATGACTAAAAAATCAGATATGTTGACAACAAATGAGATGACTGCATCCTTTAGTAGTAGTTGCCTGAACATATTAAACACAATCGTACCATAGGAATAGTTGATTAAGGCCATGGAGCAGCTTTCTTTAGATTCTTTAGTGCTTGTATCCAAAGAACTAGGAAATGCTTTTCTAATTGCAATGATTTGTCCACATTTTAGGCCAATAGTTCTTAGTAACTCATTAATGGATAACCTTAAAGACTGGGCATCGAAAATCTGTAGACACAAACAATTACACAAATCACATTAAAGACCCTGTCAAATCCGATATGGCCCAACATGCAGGGGCAAAAAATGGGCACAGTACACAAAAAAATCCACTATGTCAAGATTTCAGTTGTACTGAACAAGCATGTATACTGAGTGGGAAAATATACCAGTATTGATAGATGTATATGCACTATGAAAACATCATTCAAATATGTTTCCTCAGTTTATATTTTAACTGAATCTTCGTAAGATTCACAGTTAACAAATCTATTAAATCACACGATGGTATGCAAGCAGAAGTTAACAATGGGCCTGCGTACATGGGCATTTATAATTTTTTATAATCCTTTTTCCCAACCGGAGGGAATCGTGTATTTTAAAAGTGCAAATATTTTAGCATGAACTAATATCACTATAAAATAAATAGAAAATACCAACCTCTTCATCAACAGTAGCCTGATTATCGTTTCATTGGCTTCCGATTCGGATAATTTACGTTTCAAACCCTCCACATCCTGCTCCTGCAAAGTTTAAGCATGCTTTAAAGTAGAAAATAAGTAAAGACTTTGGACTTTGCTCGACTTTGGTGACGATGCTTCCACTCAAAGGGGAATTTTCCTACAAACTTCCCAGACCCTGAAACTTCTTTACTTTTGTATTTTGACAAAAATGCAAACCCCTCTTGGCGTTAGCCTTTTCGAAAACAAAGTCATATTTTGCGTAAACTGACAAGATTCACACACAATGAAAAATCATAAAGTTATCACTAAATTATTTAAATATTCTACAGTGCGTGTTCACGAATGTGTACGAAATATACACTAAGTTTTTAATATAAATGAAAAGCCTTAATTTTTTGTTTTCAAAGTAAAGTTAAAAGTAAATTCCCTAATCCTTACGGCCTGAAAATAATTAAAAAGACTTCAAAAATAGAAAAAACTGTGCAAAATTGTTGGAATATCTTAATATAATCTTAAAAAACCGTAAAGGAAATTAAAAAATTCAAGATAGTGTGAATTTACTAGGCTTAGTTTCGCTGCGGCTGTTTTATGGCTGTTCACGTTCACCATGCTGTTTATGCTTGCCAACCAAATTTTAAAAATGTACTTACCATCTATTGTCTCCTTAAGCAGTTGCTACTTGTAACTTTCAATAAAAAGACTTGCTAAGTTAGCGACAAGGTGTATCAAATTCTTTTTAACTGTGCGACAAGTCCGACAACAGTCGACATGAACAAAAAAGTCTTGAAAAACAGAAAAAGAAACCCGAAGCACAGCCCGAAGTGTGCCTGACCGAAATGCATCATAGGAATGATTTTGACCATATTTGGAACCTGGATATGAAATACGCGGGAAAGGGAGATTAGAAGAGTTCAAGCTAGAGTCACTGCATAAACAATCCAGAAGACATCTTCTGGATTGTCTATGGTCACTGTCTTTTGTAAAATTTACTTTATGTACAGGTTTACATTTGAGTTAATTTAACTTTGAAGTTCGAATTGACTTAACTCTCAAGTTCGGAATGATTGTACTTTGAAGTTTTACTTGATTTAACTCTGAAGCTGGAATTGGTTTAACTCCAAATTTCGAGTTAATTTAACTCCAGAGTCTCGAATCTTTCAACTGATTTCAGTTTTGAGTTCATTTAACTCTGAACAGACTGAATTCGAGTTAATTCAACTCTGAAGTTCGAATTGATTTAACTCCGAAGTGCGATTTGATGTTTTCGCCGATTTAGCTAACTCTGAAATGCGAATTGATATAACTCTGAAATTTTAGGTAATTTTAACTCCGACGTTTTAGTTGTTTTAACGCTAAATTTTGAGTTATTTAAACTCCGAAATTCGAGTTGATTTTACCATGAAACAGGAGTTGATTTAACTTCAAAGTTAGAGTGAATTTTACTCCGTAAGTGTAGTTGATTTGACTCTCATGCAGTAAAAATAACTCCCTTGGGAAGTTAAAATAACTTCTTCTCTTTTTAACTCTCTAGATAGTGTTATTTCAACTCCGATTATTGGAAGGATAATTAAAATAACGCTCTTTTCAGAGTAAAAATAACTCTAGAAAAATAACTCTACACCAAGAAGTTATTTTAACCCTACAAAAAGAGTTGCTTTAACTCGATAAAATTCTCTGTGCGGGCAATGCCAATGGGTTGCTCCAGTTCGTGTCGCACTTTTGAGATTTTTAGTACGGCTATCGAATGGATCGCTAGGGAAAGGCTTAACATCGGCAAACTCCTTCATTTGCTCGACGACTTCCTGTTTGTTGCACCGGATTATTCTGCTTGTAAAACAAACTTACAAGGATTCATTGCTCTTTGTGATTTCATTGGCGTGCATATAGCACCGGGAAAAACCATGGGTCCCTCAACAACCTTAACGTTCGCTGGGATTGAATTAGATACAATACAATTCCAGGCCCGATTGCCGATGGATAAAATCGAGAAATGTGTTCAATCTATCGCACGCTTTTTAATTCGTAAAAAGGTTACACTCAAAGAACTTCAGTCCTTAATTGGATTACTTAATTTCGCATGTTCCGTCATTATGCGTCAGGTCGCGCATTCCTGCGACGCTTAATTGATCTATCGCGTGGCATTTCACACCCTCATTTCTTTATTCGCTTAACGCAAAGTGTGAAACATGATCTTCGTGTCTGGCAAACGTTTCTGTCGAATTTCAACGGCAAATCATTCTTTTTGCACAACCATTGGCGTAATAACTCCCATTTGAATTTATATACTGACGCTTCGGGTAGTATTGGTTTTGGGGCCCTGTTTGGTTGCGACTGGTGCTATGGCGCATGGCCAACTGACTGGCGGAGTTACAATATTGCCGTTCTAGAGCTATATCCGATTGTCCTCAGCCTGTGTTTATGGGGATCAAAAATGCGCAATCATTGTATTTTGTTTCTCACGGATAATGAAGCTTTGGTGTCTGTTATTAATAAGCAACACAGGACGAAAAGCGTGCCATTAATTAGCTTTAGCAAAAATACTAAAGGTATTAAATGCGTATCTATAACTTTTAATAAGCCGACTAAAGGTGATTAAAGAAAAAGTTACATTTAATCGCATTTATTTTGAATAAAACATCTCTTTTGGAAACCGATAGATTTAATTGCATTTAGTGAGCATTTTAAAGTGGGTTAAAGCCGACATTAGTGCGCGTATAGTTTAATAAACTTTAACCAGTTGTTTAAATGTTGATTAAAGGCAGAGATAGCATTTAATCACCTTTAATTTGATTTTAAATGAAGACAAAACCTGACACCTACTTTAATTCCGTTAGGACGGCAATTTAATAGGATTAAATATATTGTTATTGCAACAATTATATGGTAACAAATAAACATGATGATATCTGATACGTTTGTTATTATCGAGTAACGTAATGCTATAATGCGCCTTTATTTCACCTGAATTTAAGCACTTCGAGACACTGTCGGACAATATACAAGAAATAAGAAAGACTTCTTATTGTGCAAATTCGCTCATTAGTATAATTATAAAGTGCGGAAGTGATTGATATACAAGTTTATATAAATTTGGCCAAAGTGCGTGGCAGTTATAATACGATATGGATAAGGCGAACAGTTACGTGTTTTGCGACCACTGCGAACAAAACGTTTCGGAAACAACATTCCGTAGACATATGGCTTTAAAACAATCTCGCCAGCTGAAGAGAAGTTTGAAGAAAGATTCTTCAACGTCTTCATCCGACACAGACGGAGAAAGTGATTGTAACAGTTACAGTTTCAAAGGTGAGAGTGTTTTGCATGCAAGTCCATAATATACAGCTATATCATTATTAGCACACTGTCCACCAATTCCATAAAATTCAGTAACCAATATGTATGGCTTTGATTGTACATTGATACCAAACAGAAATGGCAAACCTTATATAAGAAAAGTATTATGAAATTATAAATAAATAAAATAAGTCATGAGTCTTCTTGTATTTCCATGTACAGTACAATTTTACACAATCTGAATACAGAGACATTGAATGAAGTTGATCATGAACAATCAACTATTAAAGCAGAAGTTTCTCAGCTTTAAATTTTGAGTGAAAATACAAACTTCAGGATCAGTTTTGCTAGAAGAGTTGCCATACTGCTAATCATTATTCCACATGATCATACCTAACGGTAAACAGGCCTATCCCCAACATTGATAATTGGTGGTGTGGGGGGATGGGTGTATTAATATATCCATGTAAATATGAACATGAATATATGAATATACACACCCCTCCCAACTATCCACGTAAACTCTGTTACAGTGCCGTAAGTTTCAAGTATGCTGTAATCATAATAATTAATCATTTTCATACCAGGGTGATCAAATGAATTAATCATCATGGCTTCCTTTTCCACATCAGTTCTACTTGTATGGCTTTTAAACTGTTTCACAGCAACTACATGCCCTCTGTACATCTTTTTTACACAGATGCCAAATGTCCCCTCACCAATTTATTTTTTCGTCCACTTGACAATATTTTCAAGTTGGCTGGGTCAATTTCATGGATAGACCTAGAAAAATTTAAATAAATAATAGCCAGGTTGATATTGAAAATATTTAGGCTTGAATATTGTTCAGCTGTATAACTGCTATTCAGTATACTATAGTTGAATGCATTAGGTGGCAATGCCCCCTACTTATTTTTTTACTTGTCTAATGTCAGATTATTTCATTTGTCAGGGGGGAAGCTCTGCCACTTAATGTGTTAACTACAAAAGCTGACAATCTCTCGAGTTAACGCATTAAGTGGCAATGTGCCCGGCATGCCCTACTTATTTTTTACTTGTCTAACGGCAGACAATTTTACTCATTAGTGTGGAAGCTCTGCCCCTTAATGGGTTAATATAAAGATCAAATGATCTTCAAGACAGTGTTGTTTCATGAATTGACAGCTACTGTAAGCACAAACTATTGTTTCAAAAGGTTGGAGACATATGGTCATATCTGTAGCTAGCATTTCATGAGTACCCCATTAATGTTCAAATTGCTTTCTCTTCTTAATTGGCCAGTACAATAGTAACTCCAAACGAGCAGAACATTTTGAGCACATTCTAGCTTCGGAATAAAAAAGCTAGTAAAGTGAGCTAAAATTTACAACATTTCACAACCAAACTTTGAAAATATACTAATTTTAGTATGCTCTTTTCCAGCTTTGGTGATTTATTTGAATCTCCTTGTCTATTTCAGTCCATAATTGGAATTGTCAATTGTGTCTAAAGTTTTTATGAATCATGCAAGATAAATGTACTAGGGACAGAGGATTCTAAATACTATACTATTACACCATTTATATCAGACTCCCTATGTACAAAGGCCCAAATCAAACATTCATCCCATCGCTTTCCACCCACAGCAAAGTTTGTATTGAGTATTGAATGAAAATGTTGCAGGGGAAATTTAAATTTCACACAAAATTTGAATTATAGTTTTGATCACTGTATCATCATTCAATCAAATGCAGATTCAAAAAGATTTTGTCTAATCGGGCAATCAGACAAAAAAGCCTGAATCTGGCTTTTTACATGCAGCATGGTAAAGAATATATCAGGTCCTCCTTCATTTGTCGCTGCCAATCAATCATAGCGAATGAAAACATACTGTAGGCCTGGGGCATGATACTTAGGTTACATTGTTGGTCAATGTTCCACTTCATTTAATAATATAAACCCCTGCCTATAAATGCAGTTTTCTAAGATGTGGCCAGAACTGCCAAATGAATTCTGTTAAGGTTGGAAAAAAATATTTCATTTCTGCAAGGGGTCTCTTAAATCCCAGCGTTAAAAAAGCACATATTAATATTATTCAATCAAAATTGCTTAGATTCTGGAGGGTCAAATATACTCCATAAGGGGGGGGGGAATTATACTGAATATAATGTGGGGTGCTTTAATGCAGTATAACAGTATTAAGTAAATACACACAATTTTAGCAATCTATCGATATAACCCTGCTTCTATAAACTGCTCAAATTAAATATAAGGAGCAATATACATGTACTTACATACGAGACGTAGTACGCAAAGACTTTTCCTCTCTCCACTTTCTCCAAAAAAACTCGGCCTTCGATCTCATTTCAGTCGTTGTGGCTTTCAATTCTTTCTCAATATTTTTCTTTATTTTCTCCTCCAGCCGTCTTTGCTTGACATTTCTGGTCTCTTTACGTTTCCTTTCTCGTAATTTCTGTTTACGTCGGCGACGTTTAAGGCGCACTTCCTCGACATTATTTGGTCTGGAGAGACGACGCTGCTTCGCAGGTATAAAACAATTCTGTTCAGCCTCTGGTGGCACTGGGCTTTTAGCTTCCAGAAGGCTGCGCATTCCACTGGTAGCAAGTGCGCCACTCGCTGTGTGGAAAGACTGGTTAAAATGTGCCATTTCAACCGGTTTTGCGCAAGGTATACCACCAAAAGCTTTACAGAATTTTTCAATTTAAGGCTTTTCAAAATATTTGTCGTTCGTTGTCATTGCGCCAAAGTACGTAATGTGTGCTTCCCGCGCTTTTGCGTTATTTAACAATTATGAATTTATGATATTTGTCTCCGATCGGATAACTGTCCCCTATAGGGTGGGTAGGCAACTCATAATATGTCTGTTCTATAAATAACGCGACTAAAACAATGGCGGATTATCGTTGTAGAGGAAATGTGCACGGAATCAATTTTTAAATGACTTAGTATTCGTAAGGAAGCCCAATTTACATTTAGGCCAGTGCTTTTCTAGGTTATCTGGGTAAAGACTTTGATGTTCGTGTGTTATACCTAACGGAAGAAATATGATAACGATAGAATCCTGCTGTGAAAGTTTTCTACAACCAATGAAATATTGGACGTGATCGCGCTCAATTATAAATCTACATACAATTCAACAATCAACTGTGTCAATGTGTTCAAAGTCCTTTCGCGACAAACAGCTGAATCTGACTTCACTGGATTTTTCGACATATCCACTGAAATGTCTTTGCCCGATCAGTACGTTTTATTATTACAAAATGTGGTCGAGGAAAACAGGCTCTTGAGAGCTCAAATGGCTAATACCATTTCAAGCAATGAAAGTGCTTTGAAAAATATTGAAACAAAAATGGACATCTTGTCCCAGACAACTTCACCTGGCAGACGAGTCAGACAGACCGGGCAGAACAAACATAAAGTGCCCAAAGCTTGCAGTGTAAGTAAATACAGTTTCATTTATTTCCTATTAACCATTTCATCTGAATGGCTTTATGCCTTTATCCGTTGACCGTTTATGTTGAATAACAGATTTTAATAATATGAGGACAAAAATGTCCATATTGTTTGAATTGGTCTTTGTTTATATATAGTTATCTTTGTATGTTTTAAAGTCTTTATAAATGTCTCCTTATTATGGTAATATAATTATATTTACTATCAACCTATTCACTGCTTGTACCATAACACTAAAGGAGTAAAATGTCTGGTGTTACACAGAGAAAATCCAGGGGGCATGTCTAGGCACATTGCCACCAATTTAGGCTGACTTTTCAACTAAATGTTCAACTAAAAGCCAACCAAAGGTTTAACAGAAATCAATTGTAAGAACTGTAAAACCATGTTTAAAAAACCATTATTTTTAGATATTTAATTTTGAAAATGTGTTTACTATGTTCTTCAATAGAATAATGTCCGAAGAAAACTCAAGGCTCTTAGGAGTGCTGATGAAAATATGCACTTTAGATTAACTGAAAGGTAATGCATAAAGGCAACTTCTTTCAAATACTAATTTATATTAATAAAACTGGTGAAGTCATGTTACCGAGATGATGTACATTGTTTACCTTTCCGATGTTAGTATTTTAGATTGAGTCTTATCTTATTTTTATTGATTGTAATTAATATATTACCAATTAAGCACCAGCACTCTCCCCTTAATGAGTAAAATAGTCTGGTGTTAGACAGAGTAAAACGCCAAAGTAGGGCGCATCAGGGCGCAAACTTGATGGGTAACCCATTAAGTGGCAATGTGCCCCAGGACACCCTACTTATATTTTTTACTTGTCTATTGCCAGACGAAATACTCGTCAGTGGGGAAGCTCTGCCACTTAATGGGTTAAACTGCATATTAGACTGGAAGTTGTGCTGACATGCTATAAATATAAATTATACCAGTCTTTGAAATTTTATTTGAAGCCTTCAGAATCTATGTGAGGCCTTCAGAATTGTGCGATATATGGTGAATTCAGAACATGTGATAATTATGCAAAATTCTGAAGGCCTTAAAATAAATTCATAATGGCATACATAAAATTCTAAAGGCTGGTATATTTTAATAGTGTGTCCCTTTGTACCACGTACAAGAACACTATCTTTTGAACAGTAACTCTCAAACTGAGCATGGAAGTTCGACAGTATGCTACACAGGTTAAGCACAAGTAATAATTTTGAACTAATTAAGTTTCTTGTTTCTAGCCCCGATTCTCAGCAAAATTCACAGCTATTTAAAAGAGTGGCAGAAGAACTGCAACATGAATTTGGTGGTCAGGAAAATTGTCCTTGGCCAACGGTTGTTTTAAAAGGTATATACTCAGAGTTTTAACTTGTAATGTAAAAGAAATATAGCAGCAATAAATCAGTTGACTAATATGTTCCTTAGTTCTCCAGTCTCTGAGTATAGACGTCTAATAGGATAGGGATTCAACCCTTTTTGCGGGAGTCGTGTAATTTATTTTAACAAGGCGCATCCAATGAATTACGACATATGAAAACCAGGTTTAAACCTTCGTCACAGGGAAAACCTTTCTCTGCGCTGGTGGTGCCCCATACGCACAGCTTTTTTGCAACTATGTTTTCAAATTGGGTTTTCCCTCGTGAAAGTAAGTTTCCTAGAAATTAGGGCCCTGAATCTAGAAGGTGATTGTTGCTTTTTTATGTTTTAGAGGCGTTTAAGAGGTATTTCAAGTCATGCAAAGCAAAACAGAAAAGAGTTGCTCTTGGAACAGAACAGCAACACGTTCAAATTTGCAGGAGAAGGAGCAGAAAGGAGGAGGTATGTTTTTACAATATCTTTTTAAAAATAGTTGATACTTAATGATTATTTTAGCTTTGCTTCATACTTGATTGAACACGACTATCTAACTACTTTTAACGTAACAGTTAAACAGTGTAGTAGGTTATATGCAACTACATGGAAAATAAGAAAATTCTTCGATGTTTCGAGCGAAGCCCCATCAAGAAGTTGGTTGTAGTACTTAGTTGGATAACCTACTACACTGACATGTAAGACTCGAACTCCGAAGAGAAAAACCACCGGAAGAAAAATTAGCAACTGGATTTTAGGCGAGACTATACTTAGCACCACAATCTCAAACACTTACCCAAGTAAGAATATAATTATTCGACGATATTTGCTTTTAGAAACTAGCGAGAAGATTAAAAACGATCGAGAAAATGGGTTGGAACCAGACGAAAGTGGCAAAGGTGGCAGACGTCATGAGAATGGACTATATGTCCTCTGAAAAAAGCGAGGTAGACGAGGAAACAAATAGGATTAAACACTACAAGGTTCGGAAGCTTTCTTGGGAAAGCAGAGAATTAAAGCGAACTAAGAAGAAGCTTGATAAAAACCACAAGGATTCGCTACCTGGATTGTCCAAACGAGCTGTTACACCAAGAGAGGAAGGAGAACCCTCCGGTAAACCAAAACCAGCCAACTGTCCTGGTTGGGCGTGTGTTGTTCTAACTGAAGACCCGACAAATGAACCAGTTGGAGCACAATATTTAGCCGAGGATGATTTGAATCTGTCACGATAGACTCTTTAGTTAAAAATTGCTACAAAATTATTTCAGTTACATGTACATTGACGATGGACATCCTAGAAGATGCAAATAATTATGTATGCTAGTCCGATGCTCTACCAAATGAGCTACAAGGCCAAGTCGGTTCTTAAATATATGTTTACTCCGAACTCAAAGTTCAGTGCCCTTGTTTATTGGTCTCTAGACGCGCAATATATTTTTGAAAATATATTGGCTATTGCGCGTCTGGAGATCGATGCACTGAACTGTAATTTAATTGTTGAAAACACCATATTATTCACCGTACCAGAAACATCACATCATGCAATAATATTAGTATAGGAATCATGGATGTATACTATACATTACGACTTATCTATTTATTTAAAATGATGAATTTTTGTAAATACACGGGTATAGAGGGAAATAAATGCTTTTTTGCAATGAACTGGTGATGCTTGTATTTGTTTGACTATAGCTAGCTATACGTGTAGCTTGTACCAAATATAACGATTAGAAATTTAAGTTTTATTGCGAGTTGAGCTTGTAATTGAATGGAAATCAGTTTCTTCGTTTATTTACATGGAATAGGTTATATAAGTATAACAGCCATGCAGCTAACGAATTAACAAAAGCTGAATTATTGTGAATATAATAGGTTAATTAAAGACAGTTTAAATGTGCATTTACGCAAGGTTTAATCAATGTTTTAAGGCGATTAATCTATACTTATCTCACGCTTTATCGACCTTTAAACAATGTATTAAATCTACTTTTAATACACTTTAGCCAACTAGCACATTTATGATTAAAATCGACTTTAGTCAAAAAAGTCAAGATATTAAAGGCAATTATACGTTCCTTTAAACTGCCTTAATCTGCATTTAATCCACTTAATTAAATCTGCCTTTAGCACACTTTAATCAACATTTAGTCTTAAGTATTAATCCCGCCGTTAATACACTTAGTACTGAACATTAAACGTGTCTAAAGGTGTGTTTAGTGTATTTAATAAATCGCATTAAGTGTAACTAAACACCAATAAAATACACGATTAATCTGCCTTTACAACCGTATTAAGGGCACGCTTTTCGTCCTGTGCAAACATCAAAGGATTCTTATATCATGACACTCGTTCGCCGGATGGTTTTAGTTTGTTTAGAATACAATATTTTATTCAAAGCAAAGCATATACTGGGTAAACAAAATGTCCTAGCTGATTGTTTGTCTCGTTTACAGCTCCAAAAATTTTCACAATTGGCGCCGGCCGACATGCATCGAGCTCCAACGCCTATTCCCTTTCACCTGCTGCCGGAAAATTGGCGACTATAGTTTCTCAATTAGCTCAAAGTAGCTTGCAACCTTCTTCAGTGCCGACTTATAAACGGGCATGGGCACTTTTTACGCAATTTCATGTGGCAATTTTTAATGAGGGATCGTTCACTTTGCCTTTGTCGCCCTCAGTCGTTGCGTTATTCATAGCGTACTTATTTGACCTCAAGTACGCCTCTTCAACAGTTAAAACTTATGTATCTGCACTTGGTTATACTCATCGCATGTCGGATCTACCGGATCCAACGAGAGTTTTCTACGTAACGCAAATCTTAAAGGGGTATGGTAAGAAAGGCTTCCGCTTAGATAGTAGGTTGCCTATAACTTTACCAATTCTCAATCGTCTTATTGAGGCTGCGCCTCGTATTGCTGGGTCACCGTAACAAATATGTCAATTCCGGGCAATATGCTCTTTAGCATTTTTCGCGTTCCTGAGAATTGGAGAAATAACTAAGAAGTCAAATAACGAACCCCTTCAATTGCGACAACTCTCCAAAATATCTCCCGATGATGGCCGGGTTGCAGGCATAAGGTTGACTTTCGAGAACTTCAAGCACAATTATAACAGTAGACCTTTCAGTTTGGAAATTTACAGGCAAACGGCATGCTGTCCTGTTCGCTTATTAGAGGAGTACATGATTTTGCGAGGTACCCAGCCCGGAGCTATTTTTCTATCACAACTGGGCATTCAGTCTCGTGTGACGAGTTTGCCAATCTTCTTAAAAAGGCTTTCCGCTTCTGTGGACTCGATACTTCCAAATATAAGTCTCATTCATTTCGAATAGGCGCCGCTTCCCACGCAGCTGAACACGGGCACTCTGATGCCCAAATTCGAACAATGGGGCGTTGGAAATCTAACGCATTCCTCAAATATATACGTTTTTCTTCCCTATCAACATAGTTTGGATGAATTTTCGAGCGTAAAACGTGCGGGGAGTTTTCTGCTCGAATTGTGCGGTTATTTTATTTCTTCCTCAGCTTGCACATGGTCAGCCAGGGCGATCGTTTGCATTCCCGGGGGGGGAAATAAAGTGCTTATAACAGGGTGATGGAGAAGCTTCTTCTGGGCGCGGTAATATTGTGACTCTGCTAAACTAATATCAGTTAAGTCTAGATTATCAGCAAGGGCGATAATCTATGCCTTTTAACGGGCTTTGTAAGTGCCTTTTTGCCCATGTTCGTTTATGCGGTCGCGCAGACCGCTGATCCTGTATTAATGTATTACGAAACTTTCTGAAACTTTCTGCATGCATCCCTTTCCTTGGGGTGGGGTCAACTTGCTTTGCTTCGTTGTTTTGGCGGTAATTTGCCTCCACCCTTTTCTGAGCGTAACTATTTGGAATTTTAATGCAATGTATTAATAAATATCTTTTGTTTAACAGAAATAAAGCGGCTAGGAGAACCATTACTCCTAGCCAAAATTATCCCAAAACGGCGTAAAATTTAATGTGTCATTATTGATGCTCAGAAAACTGAGCTGCGGAAAGAGTATGCAAAATTCATGCCTGGCAATATCTATGCGTAAATAAATCACATTACATAAAACAAAATATTTACGAAGGAAATAAGAAATTTATGTAATGTGATTTTATAAATAGACTATTAAGGCAAGGTGTACCCCCAAGGGGATACGCCTTGCCGACGATAATTAAAAATCTTATATTATGGGCTTTGTGTCCTATCTAAAAGACCGACAGGTAATGGATGGCACGCAATATGGGAAAGGTGGTCAATGGCCAGCAGCAAATCGAAAACTAACAAAGACCGAATACCCAAACCATAAACGGTCAGTTTAAGCGTGACATCGCGAAAGACAGATCTCCTTTAAAGTTGAACCCACCTCCTCCCCAAAGCCTCCGCTAACAATTATGTACATTGGACGATTTACCGTAGCTGATATATATAGAGAGAGGAACGTTATATCTCAATTAGTGATGGTCGTAGGCCGTATCTACAGGTGCTGGCGGTAATTTGCCTCCACCCTTTTCTGAGCGTAACTATTTGGAATTTTAATGCAATGTATTAATAAATATCGTTTTGTTTAACAGAAATAAAGCGGCTAGGAGAACCATTACTCCTAGCCAAAATTATCCCAAAACGGCGTAAAATTTAATGTGTCATTATTGATGCTCAGAAAACTGAGCTGCGGAAAGGGTATGCAAAATTCATGCCTGGCAATATATCTATGCGTAAATAAATCACATTACATAAAGGCCTAGAGTTGGAAGTGGAAGCACTGCATGTTTACGCTTTTCAGTCCCTGTATAATTTATAACCTAATTTCATGTAAATCAAGCCAAATCCATAATACATGCACACAGCAAAATCGTGAGTCTTATTTTAAGAAAAAAAATACAAACAAGTAAAATTGTTCTTGTCAGTATAGTAAGAATATTATTCTAGGCAAGAATCCAGGCAAGAATATTATTCTTACCTGGAATCTCATTTTAAGAAAAACAATTCTTGCAACAAGAATTTTCTAAAGAAAAAATACTCGTTTTAAGTAACACATTGCTTGAAATAAGCAAAATTATTATTGTATATTAAGGAACCTACTCACACAATTCTTACCTAGAATGTTACAAATAAGAAAAAAACTACTTAAAACAAGAATAATTTTACTTATAATAAGTACAAAATTTTTAGACAAAGAAAACATCACAGATACATTATTCTTATACATTATTTTAGTTCAAAATATTAAAACTACTTATTTAGTGGCCATACTAAATATATAAATGCCATACATTTACATCTGACAGAAATAGTTTTTTCAAAGTACTGCTAGGTTTGTGCAATACCTTGCTCAAATAAACAAGTCTTTCAAGGACTTAATTAAAATTGCCAATTGGCAAGTTTAGGAAAGTATCCGATAGAGCTCAGATAATGAAATTAAGCCCTTGTATGAACCCAGAAGTAGTTGAATAAAAATATTCATGGAAGAAGACAAACACATCTATGCAAACTCACTGCATGTCTTCAATTATTACACATAAGCTAAAGTCATTCATTCCTGAGCAATGTTTCCCTTTGATTATTGACCAGCTGTTCTTAAATTTTGTATATCATGCCAAACATGAAAATATTTATAAGATCACCTGGAGTATTTTTTTCCTTGAAAATTAAGTGCTGAAACACTGTGGGTCCAATTAACCATTGGTATAGCAAATTTTCCACTGAATTTCTTGCTCACTACCTCAATCCATGTTCCTAATAAAACAAAAAAGCAAGCATACTTGAGAAATCAGAGTTAAGATAACAAATGTTAAAGAAACTAAGCAGTGCATAATATGTGTGAAATATATGATTGGGGATGCTATGCACAGTTTTGCATGCTCTGACAGATATAAAATTAGGCATAAAGGGTAGTCATCTGGTAAGCTGTCAATGATTTTTCCTTTTATCTATTACATGATAAATAAGTATATAATCAATTGGTCAATAAGTATATAATTACCGGTATATTATATTATACATTAAAAACTAAGCCATATGCTTAGGTGAATAATCTAACAGCATTGCACAATTCCTTATAATGCATTACTTACCACAGATATTACTTTCCAATGAGACCTCTTTCATTACAGGTTTAGACATAAACATCACCACTTGTTAATCCACCATCTAAGAATGCATATAAAAAAATTTAAAAGGCAATAAACAGTTATTTCATCCTAATTCTTAATCAAAACTTATGTATATCCAGTAACCAAGATTCAGTATATCATGATCCTAAGATTGAGTACAAATGTTTCAGCTAAAATTTGACCATGGTTTTATAGCTAACGTCAATATCACGTACACTTTTTATGGCATAGTGCCTATAGTATAACCACGTTATAATATATTTATATAAACGTCGTTCATTTATCGGGAATGATGAGTATTAAAACTGTGAATATATCTGTTTATTGTTTATAAATACGTTTACTGTTTACGCGGCAAATTCAAAAATAGCTTTCGTCTGTTTGCGCGTATAATTTTAAATCCTTACCTCTTAGAAGACTGAGATTCCCAGCCACTTTTAAAACAATCTGCGCAATCTTCTGCAGGAAATTTTGCGACATAATGTCCAGTAAATCCTATCCACAGTAATCCACAATAATCCACAGTTCTTTCCGCCAGTTGGCAGTTAGCGAAGTTTAAAATATATATTTTCATAAGAAACGAACTACGTCCATTCAGAATGCTTAAATAGGCATTAAAACCTTCATTTCGTCTGCATATGAAACGAAACTTGCGAATCTTTGCTCGGTTATTAAATGTTACTTAGTAAGAATGTAAAAATATTCTTGGTTGTTTGAAATAAATTGGTTGTTTGAAATTAGTATTCTTGGCAAGTGAATTGGCAACAAGCGTTTTTGATTGCCGGTTTTAAGTTAACAATGTTTCTTGCCAAGAATCCACAAAGACGCTTTCCTTGTTTTAAGAATACCAAAATTATTAGTTAGAATACAAGCTAGAACATTTACTTGTTTTAAGAAACGGTTATTCTTGCTTAAAAAAAGTTTACTTATTCAAGTAAAATTCATTCTTGATAAGAATAATTTATCCCCTTTTACTTATTTTGAGCAAACTTTTGCTTAAAATAAGAATTTCTCAAGAACATTATTCTAGGTAAGAATTCTCGATTTTGCTGTGCATGTGCATGATTATATAAATACTGTATAACTGTTTGCCTCAGTGAAATTGAAAATTATTGCCGTGTGTGATCACTGATCAGTGTGATTGGGCGCAACCAGTAAAATCAACAAAACAA